GTAGAAGTTTTATATTTCATTAAAATAAGTAGTCCGTATGATGGTCTTTGCGCCCAGTAGATATAAGCGTTGAGTTCGGATCTGTCCTTTGAAAGGTGGATTAGGGTGGATTACAATTACGAAAGATACTGAAAATTCATGCTGATATCTCGGGATGGGCAGTGAAATGCTGTGTCTGGAACCCCCAAATATCGCGTGGCCTGACACGATTAGAGTTAATTATTACGCAATTACAACTAAATGGAGATATTATTAATTAAAAAAAAATCAATCCGAGAAATTCTGTAAACACCACTGACGCCCGCTCTCAAAAACTGAAATGTCAAGTACCTACGTCGAATTTTTATTATTAAAAAGTTTTAAACGGAAGGTATATAGATTAAACGGTAGGCAGCGGCTTGGCTCTCGACTCCTGGCATTGCTGATGTCCATGTGCAATATAAACGGTAGGCAGTAGCTTGGCACTCGGCTCCTGGCATTGCTGATGTACATAAGCAACCACTACAAGGGCATTTAAAAAAATAGGATACTATTTTTAAAGGACAATTGATAATTCCCTACATCTATACTAATATATAAATCTGCAGTGGTTTTTACGGATGTACCGTTATTACTACTGAACCATGCATCCGATACACTTGAAACTTGGTATCCATGTAGAAAATACATGTACTTAATGGATAGGCTAATATTTATATGTTGGACTCCTTAATAATAATGACAATAAATAATAATGTTAATTTTAATTGCCCAGCGAAGCGGGCGCATACGGCTAGTTAATAATATAAACATGACAATAGCTCTGTCTCCATGCTAAATATTAAGGGGCCAACAACTGAACCTTTTTTTAAGAAGGACTTCTTAAGGTACCTTGAAAATCCTAGGAAATAATACAGCCTACGTTTCATTCTAGCTGCTAAGCACTGTTTTCTAGTTTTTATTTATTTATTGCTTAGATGGGTGGATGAGCTCACAGCCCACCTGATGTTAAATGGTTACTGGAGCCCACAGACAACTGCAACGTAAATGCGCCACCCACCTTGAGATATAAGTTCTAAGGTATAGTTACAACGGCTGCCCCACCCTTCAAACCGAAACGCATTACTGCTTCACGGCAGAAATAGGCAGGGCGGTGGTACCCACCCGTGCGGACTCGCAAAGTTAGTTATTTTATAAATCGAGAGCCATAATCAAGGTTCGTTACCAGACAAAGATAATGTCTGTCAAAATATGACTGGTGGCCATAAGGTCTGTCCTGCTATACGCTAACAGAAGTAGACGCTATCAGTTTTTTTACTGGTAGTAGGACCTCCTGTGAGTCCGCGCGGGTACCACCGCCCTGCCTATTTCTGCCGTGAAGCAGTAATGCGTTTCGGTTTGAAGGGTGGGGCAGCCGTTGTAACTATACCTTAGAACTTATATCTCAAGGTGGGTGTCGCATTTACGTTGTACATGTCTATGGGCTCCAGTAACCACTTAACACCGGGTGGGCTGTGAGCTCGTCCAGCCATATAAGCAATAAAAAAAAATAAAAAAAGACGGAAGGTTGGAATTTTGTACATGCTTTCGAAACTTTAAAGTATCTTTTAGAGTTTACTCTCAAAATGGCAGATGGCAGATAGATGACGCATGAGTCCTTACAACTCTACATATTTTTATTCACTTATTCAAGACAACCAAAGCGGAGTGTAGCCAGGACTGGCTTTGTAATTTAGGCCCGCGGTCTGCTCACTCACAACACCATGCAGACCGTTGAGTCTCACATACGTACGTAGGAGGTTCGGACCACTACCCGAAAAAAATAAATAATTAAAGACTGGCTTTATAAAAACATGTATCGAAACATTTTAGCTCATTTCATTACAAGCGACCTTTACAATCGGCCTTGTCTGCGAGTTGCGGAGGCGTGAGCAAAATACTCTGACCGTATGCGGACACAGGATAAAAGAGCATACATAAAAGAACTTGTTTTGTGAGATTTAAAATACTCAGCCGATGCTTGCTTGTTTAATAAGACTAACAAATGAAGTCGTAAGTTTGTTTTTTGGTGATGAAACGCTTGGAAACCTTTCCAACTTTAGCGAAATGGATAGAAGAACAAAAAGCACAAAGAAACCCGAAATTTTTTAGAAGTTCACCTTTTGTACAAATATTTGAGAATAAAATTTAATCGATTAAAACAAATAAATTTATATCCATGAATAACGTACACTATTAACGGCCGTCTGGTGTAGTGGTAAGTGACATGGTCACTGCACAAGGGGGTCGCGGGTTCGAATCCCGCCAAGGGAAGATATTTGTATGATAAATATAAATGTCTTTTCCAGGGTTATGGATGTATATTAAATATTAAATATATGTAGGTTTATAATAAAAATCTTACATTTATTTCCGTTATCTGGTGTACCTGTAACACAAGTTCTTTACGAACTTATCACGGGACCAGTTAACGTGGCGTGACTGTTAGTAAATATTTATTTATTTATTTATTTACTATTCGAATCACCACGCAAACCAAATCGTTAGAGCCAATGATAGCTGACTGATTGGAAAACGTGGTCGTATTATTTAATTTATTAAACTGACCCACTGGACGCTTTGGAATCTTTTGAGATTTCATTGTCTTATTAACCAACGCATTCCCTCATTGGAGCTAATTAATTAAATTATTTTAAGCTGATGCGTCCATCAATAGCGCAGTTAGGTTAGTTAGGTTAACTGAGGTCTACTGCTAAACTTACAAAAAAATCTGCTATGCTTCGTATTCCATCGGCCGAACGTCCTTGGGTTGTTCTGCGAATCTGGTTGTTGTGTTGACCGCAGAAATTCCTCTCATTTACCCGAGTTCTGTCACGGGTGGGTATCGTACCTCCGGCGAGAGCGTCTGGAGTAATTGAATGACCTTTAACATCTTGAGACCTATCCTTTGTCATCTTCGACCATCCAGTCCCACATATCCTTGTAGCAGGAGTATTGTTGCCGCGAAGCAGTCCTAACTTTTTGGTTTAAAAAGAACAGCTGGTATTTAAATTATGTTATCTCCTTCAACAATTTAACAACAGGTAGATAAAGACGCCTACCTAAGTGCAACAAAAAATTAAAAAATAACATCATATTATTTTTGGCACATTTCAATTGTTATGTCACCTTTGGAAATATCCCTCCTTCAACCTTTATTTGATTTGTTGCATAGACAGATGTACGAACGCACGAAGTCTACTAAGTTGTTATTGGTTTAATGATTGTCCCGCTTTTCAAACCAGAACGCATTACAGCTTCGCGTTGAAATAGTCAATGTATACCTGGTTGATACCCACCGTAGTTCTAATACGGACACGCGCTATGAATATCTTAAGCCGGTCACTTATTAACAGTCGGGCTATAAGGGAAAAGATTGTAGCGATTGTAGCTTTCTAGGCTAACAACCAAATCTTGTTCGGAATTTGTTAATACGCAAGCTTCAAATCGAGACACAACGGTTTTGAGGCAAAATTAAATAAGACGATGCTACACTACATTACGTACATGAGTTACAGTGTAATAAGGGCCGGTGTCCACGCTCCGACATTGTGCAACAATAGACGGCTACGTCACATCCGGCACGGCGAGACGGTGCACCCTCCGCTTATATACGAAAAACGGATGTAGATCATTTGAATATTTATTTGGAATTTTTAAAAAGAATTCAATGAATTTTGTAAATATTGGGAAACCAGTCATCGGCTTACTTGAACCTGGAAGAGATATTTCTATGTGATAAAGCAGAGGTTACATTCTTGTATACAATATTGCCACTATGTAATTAACTATTCGTGATGTTCATTATTTTTCATTCGATTATTAATCGAAGGAAATTTCATTGTTCATACGATATCACAGTGCCATAAAATCACGAAAAGGAGAAACAAAATGCAAAGATTAGACGCAAAAGCACAATATTTATGTGGGTTGTGCATCTTGGTATGTGAACCTGAATTTTTTTAAAGGGATTTTTATGACCTGTTAACTAAGACCTTTAGGTCATGTCTTATTGGAACGCAGTTCCTTACGGCAGGCTTGGAGGGGAAAGGGATTTTGCTGCGCGACCGAACTGAAAAAAATGTGATAGTAAAACCGTAAGAAAAAATCCGTGGAAAAAAGTGCGTGGAATAAAACCGTTAAATGAGACGTGCGCAGGCGCGACAGTCGTATACACAAGCGAGTAGTGTATAATACCTTTCTCTTTCTTCTTCTTTCTTTTTGTTCTCTCATCCCTCTCTATCTTGTAATTATTTCTATTTCTATGTAATTTTATGTTGTCAAACAAAAATAAAGAGACATATTTTGTTATTTTAATTGATAATTTGCATAACGATTTTTTTTTATTTTACGTAATTTATTATTTCCTAAAATACTGAATTTCCTAAATACTTTCCTGTACTTAAATAAAAACTAATCAGCAAAATTTAAGAGAAAAATCAAGGAAACCTACATAAAATTGAGCACGATTTTTTTTTGCAAATTGTGTCGATTCTACATTAGCCGAAGGAACTTCGTTCCTACCTGGTGTCCCACGACACAACATTTCTTTTTTAATTTATATTCTTATTTGTATGAAAAATGATAATATGGAGTGAAATGCAATGAAATAGGATGAAATATAATCTCAGTAAAATGGTAGTCACTGGAACCCGGGAAGTTACGTCCAGCGGCTTTGTTTCATTTTCCCACATTTGTGCCCTTTCACAGATTACACATTTAAACCTGAAGAAACACTAAATAGACAAAATAAAACAAATCACAAAACTTCACTCCTCGCGTTCCCGCCAAAAAGCCTGTGACCCTGAAGGGATCGGTTTAGGTACAGATACCGATCTCTACCGAGAATCGTCTTAAAAACCATTTTGGCAACAGAATACGGATACTGTATCTTTCTTTCTACAAATAAGCACGATTGATCATTCTTAATTGCACGTACACTGTGGTGGCTCAAGGATTTAAGATTACATTTATTTTCACAGGACGACGGCACAGTTGAGTACTACAACAACATCATAGTTCAGCCGCACTTGAAGCTGGTGACCGGCCAGGGTCGAGGCTACCACGTGAGGTGCAGGTACCGGCGCCGCGACCTCACACATTTCCACGTGTACCGACCGAGGGCCCACGCCGACAGACTCACCAATTCACTATCCGATGATTTTAATGACAAGTTAGTGAATCTATACTATTTTTAGAAACTAGTTACACCGGTCACGGTTATTTGACTGTCGTTAGCTGTGGAAGAATCATACATTTCCTTATAATGTTTTTTGGCATCTGTCATAATATATATCTGTAAAGTTAGTAGTGTGTGTAGTTAGCTCTTGTTTTTATGTTGTTTTCAAATATATATATATATTGCTGTAACATGTCATAGTGTGTTATAAGAGATTGTTGTACATGCCTGTAACTGGCTTACATACCAGTACTTAATTTTATACATGTTAATTTTAAGCTTGAATGTTTTGTGTGTATTGCTGTTGGTGTGTCTAAATAAATAAATAAATAAATATTAATGGTGCTACAATAGAAATTCCGAGTGATTTTACGTCCCAACGGACTACAAATCAACTCACTTCGAGATATTAAACTTAAGTGCCAGTGTTTACAGTACGTCTTCGCCGCCATTCAAACCGACGCATTACTGCGTCACGGCAGAAATACGCAGTTTAGTCTAGGCCAATCTAGAGCATATCTCGGGCTTACCTGAAAAAGCTAAACTGAAATCACATAGTTCAGACACGGGGAGCTTACAAGAGATTTAATTGAAAAAAAAATGACATGCTCAACGATTTGATTCCAGCGAGGAGTTTGACGAGGATTCAGGATTGTTGCCGTCTGCCACGATGAAGATATATAAGGGTGACCCTAAAAATAAAGAGGTAAGCTTTGCAGTTTGTAGACCAGTAATCGATAAAGTAGACTTGTTCTTTTTAATTGCCTAGTGGGTAAACAGCGCATTTTCCAATTGAAAGGGCGAGACCTATTAACATAGATAGTTATGGTTGGTCATTACTTGATTTGCCAACTTGGGAGGAGATAAAAAATCCAGTGAACTTACGCCATATGAACCATAATCTGGATATTGCTAATTATAGGCAATGTTGGTTCATTACATTCCAATTAACTATAACCTATAAACTAAAACTACTATTATAATGGTTTTAACGTGCAGTTTTGTTTTGTTCTAGGAGGCATCAAACGTGAAGATCGGCGACACATTGACCCTGGTCGTGGCGCTGGAGAAACAGCGGCGGTTCGGTTTGCTGGTCTCCGAGTGTTCTGTTAAGGATGGACTGGGCTGGTCGGAGCAGACCCTCATCGCTGATAATGGGTAGTTAACATTTAATAAATATCTCTTTTTGTTATTACTCTCAGTAATTGAACGATTATCGAGCGTTTTATAAAAATGACAGCATCTAGACTAAGAGCTATATCCTCACGTAGATATCGTAAAATGCGACTGAAGGATTCACCGGAAAAAGGCGGTAGGTTTCTCTAACGACTCTACACAACCAGCGTACTTTGATCGCCAACTAACATTTACTATTAAGTAAGTCCACGCAGAGGTGTCTGATGGTGACCAAATAGCCTATATCTGCCATGATACAGTCACTTTCTTGTTTAAATAATAATAATAAATAAATATTTACTAACAATCACGCCACGTTAACTGGTCCCGTGATAAGTTCGTAAAGAACTTGTGTTACAGGTACCAGATAACGGATATAAATGTAAGATTTTTATTATACACATACATATATTTTAATATACATCCATAACCCTGGAAAAGACATTTATATTTATCATACAAATATCTTTGGCGGGATTCGAACCTGCGACCCCCTTGTGTAGTGACCATGTCACTTACTACTACACCAGACGGCCGCTTGAACAAAGATACGGACATCGGGCGAGCCGTGAACTCATACATCCATAGTACTAAAAAAAGAGTATTTGTCTGAGAAAATTTAATTTCTTATTTAACTCTCTTAGTGTGATTAGTGCTTTTTCATAATATTTCAATGATGCTGTCTCTCGTTCTTTGTACTCTCTATTAATCAAAGTTTGTTTGCATGCCTAGATGTCCATTAGACGCTGAGATAATGGGCATGTTCCAATACTCGAGCGACAAGCAAGAGGCGCATGTGGCGTACCCCGCGCATAAGTTCCCGTACACAGCCAGCGTGTACTACACGTGTGCCGTCAAGTTGTGCGACCTGCAGCACCCGACGGACTGCGTAAGTAAAAGTTGTACAGCGCCATCTGTTATCGAAGGCACGGAACTATTTAGACAAATCTATACTAATATTATAAAGCTGAAGAGTTTGTTTGTTTGAGCGCGCTAATCTCAGGAACTACTGGTCCGATTTGAAAAATTCAGTGTTAGACAGACCATTCATCGAGAAAGGCTAAGACCAATACAAGCGGAGCACCAATAAAGAATGTTTCAAAATCGGGGTTTTTTTCCCTTTTGAGAGCTTCCGCTGCGCGCGCTGCAGAAATGGGTACAGTTTCGCTAAAATAATGTATGACAGCATTGTTCCCCTTTAAAAGATCTAAAAAAAGTCCGCCACAGCATATGTCTATATGTTAAGGTTGGCTCACTATAACGTTTTTTATGCTAACCAAATTTGTTCTAAAATAAAGCATTATTTTTGAACTACTCCACGCGGACGAAGTCGCGGGCAAAAGCTAGTTCAATATAAAGGCGGGCTGAATGTTTTAATGAAAATAAACACTTTGAGTTTCTTCGCCGATCTTCTCAGTGGGTCGCGATTTCGATCCGATGCTCCGAGTTCGCTGGGCTCAGTCAAGTGAATTCGCAAACACTAGCCCTGGGAAGAGCAGTGCTTTGCTGGATCTATCGCCGAATAGGAATGGCCACTTACTGGAGCAGAAGTCGCTTAAGTAGATTCGGATGATTTGGGATTGATCGCCATTGCAGACCGCTTGCCAAGAAACCCGAATATTTGGCAATTTGTATGTCACGAACATGCATGAAGTTTCTTCTTTTTCACTATCTCTAACGTCCATATTGTGTCCTAATAGGAACCTTGCAAGATAAAGGAAAGGAGCCGCCGCGACACAGACGACGAAGGCTCCCCAGCGACAGTGGAACTCTTCTCCGGCTTATATGTCAACGAGCCAGATTCGCTTGACAACGACGACGTTATCAGCGAAAAGGTAAATAAATATTACGTCATCTAGACAACCGTAGCGGCGGCCATTTTGAATGCTGACGACATTTTCGGGATATGTCTACGTAGAAACAATTTCGGAACGATGTTCGCAGCGTCGGTTCGAGAAACGGCCGTTTGGTATAATATCTCTTTGCCTTTCCCTTCAGAATGATGGGTAATGCAAAAATAAAATCAACTAGATGTGACAGACACGAAGCTCTCAAAACCATAGATAAAATATATACACATATACGGCAAAACTAATGAGTAATATCGATACAAATAATATCGATATAATTAATATCGATACAAATAAATATCCATAGAAAAAACTACGTTGTTTGTTTCGAATACTTTACTTGTTCGTGGTAATGGACAATTGTACGGTTAACGAAATTAAAAATAAACTGATATAATAAAAATCAGATTAAAAAGTTTATTTGTGTCTAAAAATACTGAAATTCTCGAGCTTTTCGCGTCATCTACGCCATGCTTAAATCATGCCTAAATTAAATTGTCACTTTTCATCTAATTTGTACTGTACCGAATAATTTCCCGATTAAAACAGTTATAATAACTTTTTTTCAGAAAGAGGACGAGATATGTATTTCGCAACGTAATTTCGCCATCGGCATATGCATAGCCGGCGTTATTCTGATGGTGTGCGTCATAGCGGCTATCGCCTTCATACTGGCTCGACGAAGGAATCCGAAGGCGTACTCGCGGACTGGCAGCTCCCTGTACAGCGGCCCTTACACTAACACCGGCTATTCACACACAAGCTAAAACATCGGACGAACACTGGCCGTAAAAAAAAAAGACGCGGCCATCAAAATAGTCATTAACTGTCGTATCGATTTATAAATCGATAATCGATTGGTTTACTTTTTTTTTTTGTGTGAAAAGAACGTCGTTGCCGCTAATATTTAAAAAGTTTGTCGTCGTGAAGTTTTTGTGGGAAAGTGCCATTTTATTTGGAACTTATCGGTTTTAATACATCGAATTTGATATTAAACGAAATAATTGCAATAAAACTTAAGTTTTCTATGAGTCACGGTTGAAAACAACACAAAAGCCACTGCCGTTTAGATGGGTTTACGTACTAAATACAATTCTGTTGTGTTCATTTTCATCACAACGAATGAGTCATTATAGTATATTAGTGATAGTTATGTAAGATTTATATGTGATTAAATTAGGTGCATTGAAAGTAAAATTATAAAACAATTACCAATTCAGGGTACTTACTGGCCATCAACAATCTGACTGATCCAGATAATATAAAAGACAAAAAACAACGCCTAATAATATTTATATAACTAAATATTTGTGATAATTTCAAAGTTATGACTGTCCTGTATTAATTTCTTTAATACGCTATATTATTATAATTTTAAGAAAAATAATGGTTGCCTTGCATTACGTAATTGATTAGTCTAAAACCGATTAATCGGAAAACATTATTTTTATTTATGTAACTTGCCCTCATTCTGTTAATAATTATGTGCACCACAATGATCGTGGTAATGCACCTCCGTAATGTGCTCAAAATAAATCTTAAATACATAAGGATTACAGTGTATAATGCCCTTTGCCTCGAGCCTCGAGGACAATAATTAAAAATGCGGAATGAGGATTTTTTTTAAGTTGCAACACTGTTTCAATGGTGGCGGGAAAATGTTTTCGTTCGTGCAGTTTATCCACAGATTATACACTTAATATTGGAGAAGTTTATCCTTTTATGTAATTCTAAGCACAGACACTAAGCAGTTGACGTAACTTTTCATTGTAGATGCCATATTTAATAAGGTTTAAATAAGTCCGTCCATTTCGGGTGCTATTTTTGTCTTTAGCTTATTATTAAGTTGCTTATCGCTTTGATATACATATATATATGTAACAACGAATATATTTGTCGATATACGTTTCATAACTACCCCATTGATTTTTTTTTAGTTTTACTGATAACGTTTTTAATAAGTCTTTTTGCAATGGGGTTCTGGAACGATATCGTCTGTGAGTGACAGTGTAAGCGGTCCTAGTTGTTTAACAAATATACTGACTCGATAAAAAAAAAAACGATTTTTTTATTTTAAATCACATCCTTTACTGTTAGCGAATTAAAAAAGTGGGTAGGAGAAAATTTTCGCCATCTCAAAATTTTACCTAAAGGTAAGTTAATACAGAAGAACAATGCGCATAGCTCCGTGATTAGCCAAGAACATTTTTCCTACTTTTTTCATGTATGACAATAGGCTTCTTGCGACGCCATTGTTGCCAGTGTAAATTTTATAAAAATCTTCAATTATTAAACAGATATGTACATTGTGTATTCCGTGATATGAGATAAAGCGAAATGAGACGTAATTTATTTCTTTGGGACTTTAAGCCTTTGAAATTAGTTGAAACGAGCTCAGACTTCTTCAGTGGACTTATTGAAAAACCCGAGCAGCTAAATCCAAGGGCTTTCTTTAATTTTCCCACATTTTTGAGCTTTCACAGACGCTAAACACGTAATAATCCATCGTTATCACACATTTAAACCTGAAGCAACATTAAAATAACATTAATAAAACAATTCACACAACTTCGCTTCCGCCAAATTGTCGCAACTAAGATTGTTTTGAAGAGCCAAATTTTGTACAATTCACATTACGTCTAGCATTGCAAACAATCGAATTACTACTACCAAATACAGCCAATTAGACTTGTGTCTAGGTCTGATGGGCAGGACTTAATTGTTATGCGCTGGGGTTCGGGATAAATAAATTTTTTACCGAAGTATAAATTACAAAAAACTGTTTTAACACTTAGAACACTTAACGAACACTTTAAAATTCTTAATTCACGTCTTCTTTTTTTTTTTTTATTGCTTAGATGGGAGGACGAGCTCACAGCCCACATGGTGTTAAGTGGTTACTGGAGCCCATAGACATCTACAACGTAAATGCGCCGCCCACCTTGAGATATAAGTTGTAAGGTCTCAGTATAGTTACAACGGCTGCCCCACCCTTCAGACCGAAACACATTACTGCTTCACGGCAGAAATAGGCAGGGCGGTGGTACCTACCCATGCGGACTCACAAGAGGTCCTACCACCACCAAAACTTCTTCGCTTCAAGTGATCCGTTCGCTGTTAGATAATACACATTAGTCAACTATTTGGCTTCGAGTAGTTCCGATTACTAACTAACTTCGTGCCATGCTCTGTAACGCTTTTATAGTCGATACGACAGCCCTTGAATTATCGAGAATATTCACGATACGGCCACATTTATGTTTCTGGTATTTGACAATAGATGGCGTTGCTCTTACTGACGTAGCATATTAGCTACAATAGAACTAAGTATGAACTCATATCTCAAAGGACATGATGACATTGATGTAAGTAGCCTTCGATAAGCGCTTAACGCTAGACGGACTGTGAGCTCGTTCACCCCTCTAGGACAACAAAGAAAACAATTCAATTTTCTTGTTTGTGATGCAATAAAAAAACGTTTTTTTATATTAATCGATTTTATTATTACGAAGCGCCAGCACTAGTGTTAATAATTCCGTTATAACTCAATTAAAATACACAAATCGATACATTTCACATTTTACTATTGTTAAATTACCATAAAATAATATTGGAATAATAATAGGCCATTCTAAATCTAAGACAAACTAAACTGTAATAAAACATAATATTATATTGTGCTATCTCTTAAATTAAATTTTACAAAATTTTACACTTACACGAATAGGTTTTTTTTTTCTTAGATGAGTGGACGAGCTCACAGCCGACCCGGTGTTAAATGGTAACTGGAGCCCATAGACATCTACGACGTAAATGCACCACCCACCTTGAGATATAAGTTCTAAGATCTCAGTATAGTTACAACGGCTGCCCCGCCCTTCAAACTACGTAAAACTACATATTTATACCTTTTTTTTTTAAATGATTAAAACTTCTTTTACGGTTTATTTTCGCTTTTTTTATTTGTCATCACTTTGTTTCGAATACTGTAACATTTGAATCAACGACACAAGCCCACTGAGTTTCTCGCCGGATCTTCTCAGCGGGTCGCGTTTCCGATCCGGTAGTAGATTGATTCGCGAAACAGCTGCTCTTGTATTTTTAGGTCTCCTTCGGAGGCGCTCGGGCAGCTGTTAGCAAATCCCAGCCCTCCTGGCTGAGCCTTTGCTCGCCCAGCTGTCCTCGTGAAACTGGAAAGGCCTCCGTGCCACCAGTAATTCTTCAATCGTAAAAAAAAGCTAATTCGAACACATTAATAATTTTGTATTTTAATTTCTCATATGGCAACATTAATGCACACGGGTGTTGCTAGGTAATTTTTTTATTTTTTATTGCTTAGATGGGTGGACGAGCTTACAGCCCACCTGGTGTTAAGTGGTTACTGGAGCCCATAGACATTTACAACGTAAATGCGCCACCGCCTTGAGATATAAGTTCTAAGATCTCAGTATAGTTACAACGGCTGCCCCGCCCTTCAAACCGAAACGCATTACTGCTCCACGGCAGGAATAGGCAGGGCGGTGATACCTACCCGTGCGGACTCACAAGAGGTCCTACCACCGGTAATTACGCAAATTATAATTTTGCGGGTTTGATTTCTATTAATTGCAAACATACCCCCTTAATACATTTTCCCAGAGAGCGTAACACAATGCCGACTAATTGCGAAATAAATTGTTATTCATAATTTTTTTTCATTGCACATGAGTCGACTATTATCAAAGCCGGCAATGTGACTTTTGGACAATTATTGGTAAATCAGAAAATCGAATTATTGACTTTGTATTCCATTGGCAGTCACAAAACTCTTCTGAACGACATCTTAGATAAATAACAGGTTAACTATTAACCTTTATTTAATGCAGGTTTTGAACCGTATTCTTTGAAGGAGACGATTATATTCAAATCAATCTGTATTGACATATCAATAACATTTTTTTGTCCAAATGCACAGATTGCCACCTTTGATAATAGACGACTCACATATCGTCATTATTATTCACAGTATGTTCTTTTCTAACACAATAAATACACTCAGTATAATGTAGTGATTGACTTTTGCGTAACATTTTTAATTAAATTCCATATTTATTTTCACTAAATCTCAAACCGAATTCTAGACGTGTTTAGAAATGAACGGAACACAAAAACCAAACAAACAAAAACATTCAACCATAATAAATATATATATCTCAGTCTTACTGGCTATTGATTGATGCTAAGCCAAAACAAAATCTACTTAGATATAAAAAACTTACACATTCTGTTACAACACCTTAAAAATACTATTTAATTATTAACATATTTACTGCCTAAACTAAAATGTTATATTATATAGGAGTAGTTTTATTTTTCCAAATGGAAAGGCAAAGGTATCGTACCACACAGCCTAATCTTTTTTATATTTTTAAATATAAAAAAAATATTATAAAATAAAAAGAAGTTGATTAATATGAAATATGGCATGAAATGAAATGAAAATAGATGATATGATATGAGATGAAATATAATCTCAGTAAAACGGTGGTCATTTACTGAGACTTTTGCGAGGATCTCGAGAAGTTACGTCCAGCGGTTTTGTTTCATTTTCCTACATTTGTGCACTTTCACAGATATTAAACAGTTCATAAATCACCGTTATTACACATTTAAACCTGAAGAAACACTAAATAGACAAAATAAAACAAATCACACAACTTCACTCAACGCGTTCCCGCCAAAAAGTCATCATATTAGAACTATTTTATTTGTACAGATTTTCATTTGTCAAATAAGCGTCACCTTTTGACGGGAATGAACACAGGTTGCCAAGTCGTATGAATTCATTTGTTTTGTTAGTATTGTGTTTCTTCGGGTTTAAATGTTTAATAACGTTGGTTTATTAACCGTTAGGAGTCGGTGAAAGTGCATAAATGTGGGAAAATGAAACAGTCGCTGGACGTAGCTCCTCGGGTTCTTCCAAAAAGTCCACAAGTATTTATAAATAAACACAATTTTACTGATATTTTATTTCATCCTATACAGTCTCAAATACACACAACTTCATCCACTCATAACATTTTAAACACAATTTTTTTTTTATATAGCAGAGTATACAAACGATTAGGCTGTATAGTGTGACACCTTCGACTTTCCAGTCGGAAAAATAGAACTACTACTACAAATAAGTGACATTGACAGAACATTTGACAGCCTTCATACAACGCTAGGCTGTGTGTCTCAGACGATTTAAGCTAAAGCTATATTCGCTCTAACACCCGACATTTATACCGTACGACACGACACGACACGACATTTAGTTTATTTTATTAAAATATTTTTTTTTACGTCCCTTACATTCTTCGATCTAATCTTTAATCCAACAAAACGTTCACTGTTCACAGGAAATATATTATATTTTATTCAGCCGTTATTATTGAATTATTATTTTAGATTCTATATTGATCTAAATACAGTTGTTTTTTCATTGAACTAGTTCAATACGGTAAAGCGTCGTCCATTTGCACGGTCATAAGGGAGTCCTCCGGGTGGATCTCCAGGAGAGCCTCAGTACCGTCGTTGAACGGGAAGGATACACTGCCGTCTATGACTAGCCCTGAAATAAAACCGATATAAAAATTCAAATTCAATTTTATTATTATAACACTCACAAGTTCGCTCTTTAGTATCGAGTTTTTTTTTTTATTGCTTAGATGGGTGGACGAGCTCACAGCCCACCTAGTGTTAAGCGGTTACTGGAGCTCATAGACATCTACGGCGTAAATGCGCCACCCACCTTGAGATATAAGTTCTAAGATCTCAGTATAGTTACAACAGGGTGCAGGATGATGGTACCTACCCGCGCGGACACACAAGAGGTCCTACCACCAGTAGAACTGATCACTCAATGTCATCTGGTCGTCGACACGAGATGTCTACGATTTTCGAGAACATTTCCTATAGTAGCGGTCGTGTTTTACAATAGATGGCAATAAACTTCTCGAACGTTCCCGTAGGCATTAGTCGTTTTGATTTTCGATGACAGATGGCGCTACTAATACCAACCTATGTATATTAATGTTCAAAATCAATGAAAGCGACGCGTTTGAGCTAGAACGGTCCAAAGCCCACACGGGCACGTTTCGTACTACAAGTGACGTGTTTGTGAGTATGATTGTGTGTTTAGTGCGAGTTTTTTAACGTTCTCGATAGCGTAAAAGTTAACTCAAATGTGTATGCAGTTGGAACAGCGCCCCTAGCGGCAAACGTAGGCGAACGTTCCAACAGCGTACAAATTCGACTTAACTTTTACGGTATCGAAAACGTAAAAAAACTCGGAGTAAGCACATTGGTACGTTTATAATCTTCGTTGCGTTTTTATGTATAGTTTTTCTTTTGTTTACTAAACCTCATCTTTAAAAGTACTCGGTGGTGACTTAATTAGTGCCATTAATTGCTGAGCCAAGGGCGGTGTTTTCGTTTCCCAGATAGGGCAAACATTCGTGTGATGAACAAATTTGTTTGCTTTTTCTACGGATTTTTAATATATATTTGTGAAATTGTGTTTAAATGTATATATTTATGTCAGTCTCTGATTCCTTTACAGCATAGGGAATCCTAGTTTGGAGTCACAAAATATATATGTGTATAAGCACGCGTAGGTGCTAGTGTACTTTACTGGTGGTAGGACCTCTTGTGAGTCCGCACAAGTAGGTACCACCGCCCGGCCTATTTCTGTCGTGAATCAGTAATGTGTTTCGGTTTGAAGGGCGGGGCAGCCGTTGTAACTATACTGAGATCTTTAAACTTATATCTCAAGGTGAATGGCGGATTTACGTTGTACATGTCTATGGGCTCCAGTAACAACTTAACACCAGGTGGACTGTGAGCTCGTCTACCCATCTAAACAATAAAGACCTGTGCCCGTGTTTGAATGTGGTTGCCACCCCCCAACCCGTCCCTCGAGTACGCGCGTGCGTTACCTGCGTCAGTGCAGTGCGAGCGCACGCAGACGGCGGACGCGCGGTCCCGGACGCGCAGCCCCCGCGGCGCCGGCCACTCCTCGAAAGTTATGTACTCCCGGACTGAATATGCGAGCTGCTCCGATTCTACACAACCACAAATGACATACATACATTAATTATTTATATATTTATACTATATTTTAATATACTGTTACGCGCTGGGGTTTGGGATAAATAAAATTCCAGCAAAGTACAACTAAAAACTGTATTCAACACTTAGAACACTTGAAACACTTTAAATCTCTCAACTCGCTTGTTCCGCTTCGCTTCAGGTGATCCGTTCGCTGTTTCGCTTCGAGTAGTTCCGATTACTTACTGACTGTTTTTTTTTTCCTACCTAAGCTGATACCCTTGAGAGGCTATATCAGCGGAACCTTAACTAGTAGGTGAGCGGGGCTCAAACCTGACAGCGTTGCTAACACGAGCCCTAGCAAGAGCCGTGCTTCGCAGAATCTACCACCGGATCGGAAACGCGACCCACTGAGAAGATCCGGCGAGAAACTCAGTGGGCTGTGTCTGAGGGTTAATTTAATCGTCGAGCCCTTCGTCGCAAGCGACGGGTTCGACTAGAACGATGACCGGTGACTGTGAGCCATCTCTGCAACGCTTTTATAGTCGATATCAGTTTTTTTTATTTATTGCTTAGATGGGTGGACGAGCTCACAGCCCACCTGGTGTTAAGTGGTTACTGGAGCCTATAGACATCCACAACGTAAATGCGCCACCCACCTTTGAGATATAAGTTCTAAGGTCTCAAGTATAGTTACAACGGCTGCCCCACCCTTCAAACCGAAACGCATTACTGCTTCACGGCAGAAATAGGCAGGGTGGTGGTACCCACCCGCGCGGCCCCACAAGGGGCCTTACCACCAGTAATTACGCAAATTATAATTTTGCGGGTTTCATTTTTATTACATGATGTTATTCCTTCACCATGGAAATCAATCGTGAATATTGTTGAGTACGTATATCATTAGAAAAATTTGGTACCCGCCTGCGGGATTCGAACACCGGTGCATCGATCAACACGAATGCACCGGACGTCTTATCCGTTAGGCCACGACGACTTCATTCCTAGAATTATCGAGAATATTCCACACATCTTAGTATTGTTTCCGTTATCTGACAATAGATGGCGTTGTACTTCTCGAGCGTTCTAGGTCCTACTAGATCCTTCGATATTCGTTTGACTATTCGGCGATAGATGGCGTTACTCTTACAAGCGTAACAATATTTAGTTAACTTAGAATGTTAAGGAGCAATTTAAGGTACCAAAATCACGCTTTTAACCGACTTCAAAAGAGCAAGTTATCATTTCGACCATAATTTTTTCTCTATGTATGTTCATCGATTTCTCGAGAATGCTTGAACCGATTCTGATACTTTTTTTTTTGTTCGAGAGAGTAGACTTTCCGAATGGTCCTGTAATTATCAATATCTGATGATTGGATCCTGGAGAAATCCAGGAAAATCTATAATTGTCAAAGCCTATCGTGAAGTGATTTGGGTGTTTCAATGCTCTAATGAATAACGCATTTATTTGAGATAAGCGTGTTCAAACAAACAAACTCTTCAGCTTTATAATATTATAGTATAGATATTTTAATTGCTTCATACCAGGTCCGAACATGAGCTTCTTGTTGTATCTCTCGGCGACCTCCCGGGCTTTCTCTAGACTCGTGTCGAGCTTAACGTTGTAATCTTGGGCCAGTATCTTCATCAGTTCGAGAACTGAATGCGTTCTGAGACAGTTTATGCTGTGAAAGAAAGAAAGGGTGATTACCACAATACTTTTTTTTTTTTGCTTGGATGGGTAGACGAGCTCACAGCCCGCCTGCTGTTAAGTGGTTACTGGAGCCCATAGACATCTACAACGTAAATGCGCCACCCACCTTGAAATATAAGTTATAAGGTCTCAGTATAGTTACAACAGCTGCCCCGCCTTTCAAACCGAAGCGCATTACTGCTTCACTGCAGAAATAGGCAGGGCGGTGGTACCTACCCGTGCGGACTCACAAGAGGTCCTACCACCAGTATGGATACGTTGCTTCTGTGTTCTGGTCCAATAAATCCAGAGCATTTTCCTCCAGCACCACATCTCAAAGGCGTCGATGCGTTGGCGGTTGGCTTTCTCGATAGTCCAAATCATTGCGCCGTAAAGAAAAATGGAGAAGACGAGGCAAGTGATGACTTTGCCACACACCTTCTATAAAAAAAAAACAAAAAAAAAACACCAATAATTTTTATACGGAGCTTTTGTGATACCTGAAATGCCAGGAGGTGCTTCCGGTTCCGGTGGTCACGCAGAGGCCGGAGCTTTTCGTGTGCGTCCACTTGCCGTTGTCGATCTGCAACCTCAGTACCGAAACCCTAGACGTCACGCTCTCGCCTATGAAAACCTGCACGGGAACGAAAGAGATGGAGCTAAGCAAATGTATTTATTATCTATAGAATCACTCGTGGAAGGTTAAAAAAGCACCCATTTCGATTGCCTCACAAATATCTGACTGCCTAAAGAATATATCTATAATATATTAATACGTGAAGCAAAAACTTTGCACCCCTTTTTACCAAAATTACGCGGACGGAGGAGTATGAAATTTCCCACACTCATAGAGAATACAGAGAAGGAGTGCAGAATATTAATATTTTTTTAAATACATTAAATCAATATAAAAAAAAAACATTACACACACTACCACGTATTTGATACACACACACACACACACATGCATACTCTGTGTTTATTGTCAAATTTTTTTGTTTTTTTTTTTTTTAATGTATTTTATGACCTGGTAGCTAAGACCTTTAGGTCAATGTTTAAAGTCTGTGATCAAATTGAGCATAGATTAAATATTGTTTGTCTTTATTCATATTTGTCTAAAGTGTAGTCTTGGCGAAACCTGTGCTTATAGAAGTATAATAGTCTTTGACAACAGAATCATGACAGTGTACAAGCTTATAATTTCAATTAATTATAGTCGAATTTCGACTACAGGGGGACCACTAATTAAGTTATAAAAATGAACACTTTCTCACAGTGTATACAAGTGTTCTGCACCCGACAAGGTCGTCCAGCGTATGAGCATATGGTTTATTCCTACCTATTCTAGTGACCTTGAGGGGTCATACTAGATTGGCCGACCTAGTAGGTGAGCTCACGAGGCTCAAACCTAACGGCGTTGCTAATAGTAACCCTAGCAAGAGCCCTGCTTCGCAGAATCTACCACTGAGAAGATCCGGCGAGAAACTCAGTGGGCTGTGTCTATGGGTTAATTTACTGTGACCAGTGCTTGAGGTACCTAAAAGCACCGTTAGTGGATCGGGAGGATCCGTAATGACGTGATTAGGGCGACGACGACTGTTTACCATTCCGATCGGGAGTGTTGACCGCGAACATTTGTTCGCGTCGTTTTATACAGCCGGCAACGATCTTCCTTCTGCTTCCTTCTTTGTCATTCGCTCATTGTCATTGTCACCGAAGAGATCGGGTTCGGAGGCGAGCTTTGGGGAGGCCATGTCCAGCAGTGGACTGCCGCAGGCTGATGATGATTCGCTCATTACTGAAGATCGCGACCACACGTATGCAAGTACTTCCGTGAACATCGATCCGCTGCGAGGTGGAACCCTCTTGAATGCTGCCCCCAACTGCCCTCCTTACAGTGACTCTTATCCCTTCCACCCGACTATAACTTTTTTATAGTGATTTTATGACCTGGTAACTAAGACCTTTAAGTCATGTCTTATTTTAACTTATATTCTTATTTTTATGAAAGATGATAATATGGAGTGAAATAAAATGAAATGAAGATGCTTGATTTGAGACATTAATCAACTGGAATGAAATTGAATGAAATTAAATGAAATGAGATGAGATAATATGGGATGAATTATAATCTCAGTAAAATGGTGGTCATTTACTGAGATTTTTTTCAGTGGACTTTTTGGAGGATCTCGAGAAGTTACGTTCAGCGGCTTTTTTTCATTTTTCTACATTTATGCACTTTCACAGATATTAAACAGTTAAACCTGAAGAAACACTAAATTGATAAAATAAAACAAATCACACAACTTCACTCCTCGCGTTCCCGCCAAAAAGTCAACCTGACTATAAGAATGAATGGCAATCATCTACCCACATCTAAAATTTATAACGCACTTACCTCATTCAACGCCAGAAACGGCAGAACCTTGGTGGCCAATGTGGAGTTATCTCCTTGTGCGTCTATTCCGAGTGGCCTCTTGGTGTCTGTGTTGTATTCTGCGCTATGCACAGGCGGGTACCTTTGAAAAACAATTACAAGTGAGATCATGACGGTATATATGGACGTTCCTTTACCGCGTTGGCGATATTGCTGAACGTCGTTTGGTACTTACTGGTGGTAGGACCTGTTGTGAGTCCGCACGGGTAGGTACCACCACTCTGCCGTGAGTGAAGGAGTAATGCGTTTCGGTTTGAAGCGTGGGGAAGCCGTTGTAACTATACTGAGACCTTAGAACTTTTATCTCAAGGTGGGTGGCGGAGTTTGCGTTGTGTTTATTTATTTATTAAGTTGCACCCACAAAGTGATCATCAATACAAAACATTGACAAATTGACAAAAGTTCATGGCAGATGTCACCTCAATAATTATAGGTGCAATCGACAGTGCATTAAAAATATTAATAAAAAAAAAATAATAACTAAGATTTGATTACATTTGATTGATAGCTTAAGATTAATTTATTTTTAATTGGGAAATGATCCGCGACCGATTTTTCCTGTAAGCTGTGAGACAATTGTAGGTGTCTATAGACTCCAGCAACCACTTAGCATCAGGTGGGCCGTGAGCTCCTCCATCCAAAAAAATAATAATAATAATAATGACGAAATATATGGACATTCCTCAACCGCATCGGTGATATTGCTGAACGTCGTTTGGTACCTGCAGTAACCTAACTCACCTGCTGTAATGCAGCGTGTGTAAGTCGACTGGCGTGATGGTGTCCAGGTGTTTAGGTTCGCAGGTGACCGTCGTGCGTATCCTTGAACGACGCATCCAACGGAATCGACCCTGCGGCAACACTTCACGCTAAACTCATATGAATTACTACGCAGGGCGTAAAAATATAGTTTATGGACCCAACAATAAGCAAGAGAAGCTACGAAATTACTATTGCACTTAGCACGTAATGTAAAATGTAGTGCTGTCTTCGTTGTACATTGCGTTTTTATTATAAAAAAATTATTGCTTAGATGGGTGGACGAGCTCACAGCCCACCTGGTGTTAAATGGTTACTGGAGCCCATAGACATCCACAACGTAAATGCGCCACCCACCTTGAGATATAAGTTCTAAGGTCTCAAGTATAGTTGCAACGGCTACCCCACCCTTCAAACCGAAACGCACTACTGCTTCACGGCAGAAATAGGCAGGGTGCTGGTACCCATCCGCGCGGACTCACAAGAGGTCCTACCACCAGTAATTACGCAAATTATAATTTTGCGGGTTTGATTTTTATTACACGATGTTATTCCTTCACCGTGGAAGTCAATCGTGAACCTTTGTTGAGTACGTATTTCATTAGAAAAATTGGTACCCGCCTGCGGGATTCGAACACCGGTGCATCGCTCAACACGAACGCGCCAGACGTCTTATCTGTTAGGCCACGACGACTTCACAAACGACGTGTTCACAAATTATGATTTTTATTGACGGTTTGATGGGACACCCGATATTAATACTGGTGATAGGACCTATTGTGAGTCCGCCTGGGTAGGTACCACCACGCTGCCTATTTCTGCCGTGAAGCAGCTGTGGCGGGTAGTCATCATACAATGCAAGATATTTGACAGATGCCTGAATCTCGCTTACGACATTTTCAAGATAATCTTGCATATATACAAGTTCCGAACAACAACATTCGGACGGTCGGTCTACCGAGCAACATCACCAGCTCGGTGGAAGATCTTTCCTTTCGTCGTTTAAGCCTTCCACACAGTAATGCGTTTCGGTTTGAAGGGTGGTGGAAGAACTCGTATCTCAAGTTAGACGGCATTTACGCTTTAGATGTCTATGGTCTCCGGTAACTACTTAGCATTAGTTGGGCCGTGAGCTGGTCCACCCACCTAAGCAACAAAAACAAATGTACATTTAAGATTTCGACTTCACATCTCAAGGTGGGTGAGGCTGCATGTCCTTAACCATTGGCCTTAGTACGCTTTAAAAAAATATATTAAAAAGTCATCCTGGAGAAACTCATGGTAGTAGTGATAGCATACCTCCTTGAGGGCGTGGAGCGCGCCCTTCACATCGTTCGAGCACCACGTGGGCAGACAGAGACGTCCCACGGACTTGTGCGGGGCGCTGTTCAAACCTATCACGGGCTTACTGGGAACAAAAAATACATTGAGCGACAAACGTTAAAAAAAATTGTTTTCACCGGTCGAACGAAAATCGACCATAATCACTGATAAACACAAGATTCAAATTCATTTTATCACTACATAATATAAAACAGAGTCGCTTTCTCTGTCCCTATATCCCTATGTATGCTTAAATCTTTAAAACTATGCAACGGATTTTGATGCGGTTTTTTTTAATAGATAGAGTGATTAAAGAGGAAGGTTTATACTTATAATAACATTTGTATAAATAAAATACAGGCTTGTATATTAAATATTTGCGTTTATTCTAAATTTATTAATTTAAATTATAACTTGCCATGCACGGGGCTAAAAGGCTGGAACGGGAGAGAGTGTTGCCAAGCGCAAAACTTAAAATTAGCAACTTAGAGCTTAGGTGTTACCATTACAATATTACAATATAATTCTTATGTTCATATTTTGATTGAACAACATCCATTAAATAGTGGAGGAATCAATAATAAGTTACAGTTTCCGAAGTGAAGCGAGGGCGGGTCGCTAGTATTTTATATATATTTTTTAAATATTTGGCTTTGTTACTGAAACTTTAATGAAAACATATGGACGATGTCAATATTTATTGATAAAATTTTAAATCTATCGTAAAATTTTATTAAACGATAATACGTAATTTTCTAACAAAAAACATTAAAAAACAATTAGAATATCATCAACGCAGTCGAAACCAATTAAATATTGCATCATTAAGGATAATTAAAAAAAAAACTGTTGATCTCAGATCAGATCAGAGATCAGATCTTGACATTTTTTTTAAATGAGACCACACGAGGAACACCTTTCACGTCACCAAACAAAAATCAAAATCGGTTCACCTAAAAAAATATCGGAGATAACAACATACAATATATAAAAAAATACAGTCGAATTGAGAACATACTCATTATTTCTGAAGTCTGTTAAAAACGAAAATTATTTCACAAGCTGACGGAGACATTGGTCCTCAACTGCTTTTTTTATACTAAGGAGGAAAACCAATAGATACTTGGGTGTCCAACTTACTTGGGATCTCGGACTCTTGAGGCCGCCAATAAAAAAGTTCCGTCCCCACCACAGGGCACCACAACGTCGCACCACTTTATCAATTCATCATTGTACGTACGTCTGGAACGAATAGAACAATTTATCATCATCCGCTGTTTAATCTAGAACACTACAGATACCAAACTCCTATATGTCTGCTCTTAAGGCAGAACAACCGATCGACACATCCCTAGGTGATTACTAATCGAGTAACAAGTAATAGACCTAATGAAATAGGATTTTTTTATTGCTAAGTAGGTGGACGAGCTCACAGCCCACCCGATGTTAAGTGGTCACCGGAGCCCATAGACATCTACAAAGTAAATGCCTTGAGACATGAGTTCTAAGGTCTAAGTTTTTACAGTGCAACAACTGCCCCACCCTTCAAACCGAAACGTATTACTGCTTCACGGCAGAAATGGGCAGGGTGGTGGTGCCTACCCGCACGGACTCACAATACGTCCTACCACCAGTAAAATTTAATTAAATACAATTTTGAAGTCATGTCAGAAGCGGTGCTATTTCAACAGGCTATGGATAAGAGTGCCTGCAATTTAAATCGAGGGATTGCTTTTGGAGTACGTGTGTGCGATCAAGTTCTTAGCTATGTATGTGCTATTCAGGGAGACCCACTGAGTTTCTCGCCGGATATTCTCAGTGGGTCGCGTTTCCGATCCGGTGGTAGATTCTGCGACGTACTGCTCTTGCCAGGGCCAGTGTTAGCAACACTCCGGTTTCAGAATAACCGCCCGAGCGCATTGAGGCCTAGCATTTCAAGAACAGATGCTTTGATAGATAGTTTTATTAAAAAGACCAGGGTAAAAACTCGTTAACTGACGCTGTGAGTCTTAAACGTCGCGTCGAACTTTCCAAAACAAATCGGATTCTAATTTAGTCGCCTCTAGTATCTATATATTAATACGTGAAGCAAAAACTTTGTATCACTTTTCACGAAAATTGCGCGGACGGAGGAGTATGAAATTTTCCACACTTATACAGAATATAGAGAAGAAGTGCACAATGCTAATGTTTTTTTTAAAATAACGCATAAAAGATACATTAAGTCAATAAAGAAAACATTACACACACTACATACCATGTATTTGACGCACACGCATGCATACTATTTATTGTCAAACTTTTGTTCTTGACGTCTGTTGTCAAATTGAGATTAAATATTGTGTGTCTTTGTTAATATTTTTTATAGTGTAGTCATGGCGAAATTTGTGATTAAAGAAGTATAAAATACAATCATAATAGTGTACAAACTTACAATTCCAATTAATTATAGTCGAATTTCCACTACTGCGGGACCCTAGTTCGAACGAATGGATCAGGTGGATCCATGATACCTAGCTCTATATCGACGCGCTAAATAAATACACTTTTCTAGAATATACGAATCTGTTTGTTTACAATTACGTACATTATACAACACCTTGATAATATGTTTGTTGGCAACAGAACATTATCATATGGAAAAATTCTCTTACGCAATCCATCAAAATATTTACTTTAAATATACAAGCGCTGTTCTTTATTGACTTGTAATTATAATAACTGTTTTATCGATACAGATAGGCATGCCCATGCCTAATTTGATATTGAGTGATGAAAGAGTGTAGTCGTTAGACGGTCAATGTCACCATCGATCTTGGAACGTGAGGTCTAAATCTCAAATGTATTGCATTGATATTATAGAGTATATTTTTATGACCATGCTATAAAGAAGAAAAATACATACTTTATTGCACACTAACACACAATTAACATTAAAAAACAGTCAACAACCAGATATGTACATTAACCAGATATGTACAAAAGGCGGTCTTATCGCTAAAAGCGAACTATTTCAGAAAACCATTTAATTAACAGAAATTCTGGAGAGGTTAATGATACAGCAGGTATGTTGCGGTGTACTAATTTTTTTTATCGCTTAGATGGGTAGACGAGCTCACAGCCCACCTGGTGTTAAGTGGTTACTAGAACCCATAGACATCTACAACGTAAATGCGCCACCCACCTTGAGATATAAGTTCCAAAGTCTCAAGTATAGTTACAACGGCTGCCCCACCTTTCAAACCGAAATGCATTACTGCTTCACGGCAGAAATAGGCAGGGTGGTGGTACCTACTCGCGCGGATACATTAATACAATAATACATTATTAAAGAAAATACATACATACAATAAATAGATATATACCGGTGGTACCGCTATGGAGATTGGTTTTGTCGCTATTGGACGTCAGCAAAGCCAGAGGTGCAGCCAAGTAGTTACCTACTGCTGAATGCTCTTCGCAAACCTTGTTTGAATAAGGCAATGTCATAGCTAGCCAAGAATTCTCAGACACGTCACCGCCCATTCTCTAGAGAATCCCTTCACCTCTTACCACCATCCACGGTACCATCGTTTTGGAGTTAGTATTTGGGCCAACCATTCGCATCATTGGCCCAGTATCCAAAGATTTTACAAATCGGGCCAATGATCTATTCCAACAATAATGTTGGCCCCAAAAGTATGCGGAATTCGCCAATATTCAAACCGTCCATCACAATTAATCGCCTCTGATGAAGACGACATGAGCAAATGGGACAAATAAAGCCAATTGTTTCCAAGGTGAACGCGTCAAATGTTCGCGCTCCGTCAATTGTTTTCAATGTAATTACGGAACATACTTGTGTATACATTATTACTTCTTATGAACTCATTTGTTTTTATTTTTAAAACCCCAACGCTTAAATCGAATTTTAATCTCTCCTCTTTTTAATGAAACCTGATTATCTATATATTATATAGTGTATTTTATATTAATGTCTCAATCATTTTTTATAAAAGCCATTTTTTTCTAACATTAGGTATTTACGTTGAAAGAGCCCTAGTTTTGTACCAGCCAGTATAATCAACAAACTCAAAGTTCGCGAATACATCCACAAAAAAACTGGAAGAATCATCTACAAACCAATTTATTTTATTTTTAGCCATTCTAGTAGTTCATAGTACTAAATTGTGTATTTTCATGTGTATGTATGTATTTTATTATTTTATACATAGGTATATTAAATTGTAGTATGTTTATTTATGCATACAAAATCATATGTAATCTATATAAGTACCTATATTTAAGATTATGTGTACTCTATAATACTGAGATGTTACTTTAATGAAGATTTTTGTTTTGATTTTGTTCTTTTTTTTTTGTTTTTTGTTGTTGTTTGTTATTCTTTTGTTAATGCACCTGCCATGCATTATCTCCGCACCAATCTGTGGTCGACTGGAAGAGAATACCCATGGCATTAAGTCCGCCTGTGTACAACTTTTTTGTGTGCATAATAGACTCACCAGAAATACACTTCATGTACTTGAACGTATTCACTTAAGCGTACCGCGCTTGGGCAGCCGCTTATGTAATCGGAAAACTTTCCACCCACCAAAAATCAAAAGTTATCTTGGCCAGCACTCTCCTGTCTATCGTATGACTTCCCTGGCAAATAGTATACGTGATGAAATTGACATATTTATTTGCCATACTTCTCTAGCCTCACTTAAAATAAAGTTAAATTCCGTGATCCACACCGAGCTGTAGACCAACCACATTTATTTTGATTTCTACAGAACAATAATTTCCCTCTTTTAATTTTTTATTTTTATTGTTATTTTTTTTTGTAAGTATGTATATGCAGTTTTTTGTTTTCTTTGTCTTGATTTAATATTGGTTAACGATATTTTTATCTTAAGCACAAGCGATGTGTTCACACCCAAAAGGGTGAATTCTATAGTTTATTATTTTATGTAAATAAGTTCAATGTTTATGTGTGCAGATTTCATCCAGTTGTGTGAACCTAATAAAAAAAGTATAAATAAATATAATGATCAATTACTTTTGTATGCCTTGTCTATTCGCTACAAATCCTTGGACTTCTAGTTTTACACCAAGGTGATTACCAAGAGCACTCCTTAAAATAACAATTACATAGCACTAGAAAATAACCTTTAACCGATAAAGCCAAACGCGCCCCAAAAATTGCTTATCCGCATTCATCGTCAACTTCTCCAAACTTTTTTTTCCATCTAAGCTGATAGCCTTGAAAAGTTATATCAGCGTTATCCTAGCGTGTAGGTGAGCTTTCGGGGCTCAAGCCAGGAGATGTTGCTAACGCTGGCCCTAGCAAGAACAGTACTTCGCAGAATCTACCGCCGGATTGAAAACGCGACCTACTGAGAAGATCCGGCGAGAAACTCAGTGGGATGTGTCTATGGGTTAGTTTACTCACCTAATCCTTCGTCCTAAGCGACGGGTTTGGTGAGAACGATGACCGGTGCTTGAGGTACCCAAAAGTACTGTCAGTGGATAGGGAGGATGCGATATGACGTGTTTAGGGCTGTCAATAAAATACATAATTCTTCACCTGCTAGCCATTTCAACCTTGATGCCCATGTCCTTGAGATTTTTCGCGATGCCCTCCTCAAACGCCTTCTGTTCTCTGTGGTTCGCCATGATCATGTCGTAGTCTGAACCGCGCTGCCTCAATATCCTCTCCAACTCCACGTCCGATATATTATCGTGACTATGTCTGAGAACAAAGATCATACACAGCTCGGTCAGTTTACGGTGGTCCTACTGCCGTCCCGTTCTGATGAGTGCATAAGTGCAAGATATTACAAAACGCCACCAGACAGAGACATACAAGAGACCGATTTAATATAATGAAATAGTACCCAAAGGGGGTCCTAGTATCGTGAAGTCGTCGTGGCCTAAAGGATAAGACGTGCGGTGCATTCGTATCTAGCGATGCAACGGTGTTCGGATCCCGCAGGCGGGTACCAATTTTTCTAATGAAATACGTACTTAACAAATGTTCACGATTGACTTCCACGGTGAAGGAGTAACATCGTGGAATAAAAAACAAACCCGCAAAATTATAATTTACGTAATTACTCTCACCTCTTGTGAGTCCGCACGGGTAGGTACCACCGCCCCGCCTATTTCTGCCGTGAAGCAGTAATGCGTTTCGGTTTGTTGGGTGGGGCAGCCGTCGTAACTATACTGAGACCTTAGAACTTATATTTCAAGGTGTGTGGCGCATTTACGTTGTAGATGTATATGGGCTCCAGTAACTGCTTAACACCAGGCGGGCTGTAAGCTCGTCCACCCATCTGAGCAATAAAAAAAGAAGAAACATCATCAAACAGCGGAGCTCGCCCACCTGATAGTGAGTGGTTACCACCGCCCATGGCCCATGCTTTAGAGCAATGCCAGGGGTAAAGCCAAGCCGCAGCCTAACATACAATTTTCGGTAAAAACAAACAAGTTAAGTACAATTGACAATTGTCGTTGATGTACCTATTTATTATTAATCATGAAGCCTTGACTAACCAACGCTACATCAGTGAAAACCCAGTTTCGTCATAAACAAATCTATTTTTACACGCGCATATAACATCAATAACAAAACAATCTTAAAAATAAAATAATCTGTATCTCTACTAATATTATAAAGAGGAAAGATTTGTTTGTTTGTTTGTATTGAACAGGCTCCGAAACTATTGAAGCGATTTGAAAAATTCTTTCACTGTTTGGAAGCTACACTATTCCCGAGTGACATAAGCTATAAACTTAAAAAAAAAAAAAATAGGGATCTTTACTAAAACTCCAATAATGTAACCCGAGGTGTAAAGAAATTACCTAAAATAATCTTTACATCGCGCGCCCTGCGAAAACTATTGATGATCGAATAAAATAATGTACTACGACTTATCGTTGAAAATTTTGTTAAAGACCCGAAGCGTAGCCGGAGCGGGCCGCTAGTAAATAATAATAATAAAAAACAACGGCCAATCAATCGACTTTAATTGATTATACGCAGTACACGAGAAATACGCGCTATCTTTAAAGTTCACATCGAGAGGTCGATAAAACTGGTTTTAATTGGTGCAACTTAACTGTAAATGTAATTGTATATTACACGTCATCTCGGATCCTCCCGATCCACTAACGGTGCTTTTAGGTACCTCAAGCACCGGTCACCGTTCTCGTCGAACCCGTCGCTTGCGACGAAGGGCTCGACGAGTAAATTAACTCTCAGACACAGCCCACTGAGTTTCTCGCCGGATCTTCTCAGTGGGTCTCGTTTCCGATCCGGTGGTAGATTCTGCGAAGCACGGCTCTTGCTAGGGTTCGTGTTAGCATCGTCGTCAGGTTTGAGCCCCGTGAGCTCACCTACTAGCCACGGATACGCTGAAATAGCCTCTCAAGGTTATCAGCTTAGGTAGGACAAAAAAAAAAAAAGTAATTGTACGCTTAGTGCGAGTTTTTTAACGTTCTCGTTAGCGTAAAAGTTACTTCATGTTTGTATGCACTTGGAACAGAGAGACTATTCGTGACAGGGAAGATTGAGGGAAAGAGACAGCGTGGGCGCAGTCCGACAAGGTGGTTCGACCAAATCCGCACCACACTAGAGATCCCATTCCACGACGCCCCTCATGCGGCCAATGATCGGAGGCGCTGGCGGGACATTACAAGGAGCAAAATCCTGTCGACATATAATGGTCACGACCCTCAGCAGTGAGGAAACGATGCGAGGAGGAGGAGGAACAGCGCCCCTAGCGGCAAACGTACGCAAACGTTCCAACTCCACTCAAATTTGAGTTAACTTTTACGCTATCGAGAACGTTAAAAAACTCGCACTATTTGGGAGATTTCGACATCATCATGTCACGTCTCAAACTGAGCGGCAGCTTTGAGGTTGTAATGTCTATGAACTCAGTTGAGCACTTAATATATTTTCAGTATATTATTTTCAACACAAACAATCCTTTTTGAAAATTCCTTTAATATAACAACGTTTTTTTTCCGCATTTTTTTTTATTGCTTACATTGGTGACAGAGCTCACAGCCTACCTGGTGTTGAGTGCTTACTGGAGCCCATAGACATTTACAACGTAAATGCGCCAATCACCTTGAGATATAAGTTTAAAGATCTCAGTATAGTTACAACGGCTGCCCCACCCTTCAAACCGAAACGCATTACCGCTTCACGGCAGAAACATGCAGGGCGGTGGTACCCACCCGCGTGGACTCACAGAGGTCCTACCACCAGTAAATGATGCATGCATGCATGATACTCACTTTTCGTAGTCGTATCTTGTGGCCTTTGAAACAATCAGACATTTGTCCATTTTCATTTTCGGGTCTAGTTCTTTTGAGGCCGAACTCCCACGACGCTTCGGAGACCGCGTCGGTAAATCATTCGTCAGGTCTTTATTACGAAGACCTGTAAAAGGAGACGATTTTATTATTTTTATTGCTTAGATTGCGTCCACCCGGACGAGCCCACGGCCCACCTGGTATTATTTGGTTACCAGAGCCCATAGACATCTACAACGTAAATGTCGCCATCCACCTTGAGATATTCGTTCTAAGGCTTCAACATAGTCACGTAGGCAACATTTAGTTCGCATTTTTTATGTATCTCGTAACTTTCTGACGTTTAAGATTATATAGACCACATACATCGAAACTATACTTATCAGATGGCCGAGAAAGCTTAACGGATCTCTCGTTCAATTCCAATGCTCATATTACGAACAGAGAAACATACTTAGAATGCGTCCGAGAAAGCAACTCTCCATCCGCCATCGATCTCCTACTTTAGTGATACGTTTTTTTTCCTTACCTATTCGCTGGTAAGCTTTTTCCCTACCTTTTTTTCCTACCTATTCGCTGGTAAGCTTTTTCCCTACCTTTTTCCCCCACCTATTCGCTGGTAAGCTTTTTCCCTACCTTTTTTCCCCACCCATTCGCTAGTAAGCTTTTTCCCTACTTTTTTTTCCCTACCTATTCGCTGGTAATTCCCTAATAGGTTATTCCAGCTACGCCCGGACGGGTGGGTGAGCTCGCAGGCTCGACCTGAGAGAATTTGCTAACACTAGCCCTAACAAGAGCAGTGCTTCGCAGAATCTACCACTGGATCGGAATAGCAAACCACTGAGAAGATCCGACGAGAAACTTAAGGGGCATACACAAAGTTTCGCGACAAAATAAAGATTATGCAATAGAGATTAAATATTTTTTTGTTACAATTTGACACATAAAAACAAATTATTGACCTTCACATGTAGCCTACATGTTTAGTTCTAGATAAAAACAAAACATAAAATAAAATACGCGAAATTGTAATTGTGTTATCATGAAGCGCATCACTAATCGCTCAAGGACACAAAATTATTGTTGGACAATAATTTTAATCCTGTTTGTCGTTTTATCTTTCGATATTTTTTCTTGTACCTCTTTCGCATAAAACTATTAAATTTTAGCGGGAAATTCGAGAATTGTTTTTCGGTCACTGTCCTGTAAAATATATTGTTTCAATTTTTAAATTTTTTTTTTTTTTTTTCATTTTTTTTTTTTTTTTATTGCTTTGATGTGTGGACGAGCTCACAGCCCACCCGGTGTTAAGTGGTTACTGGAGCCCATAGACATCTACAACGTAAATGCGCCACACACCTTGAGATATAGTTCTAAGGTCTCAGTATAGTCACAACGGCTGCTGCCCCACCCTTCAAACCGAAACGCATTACTGCTTCACGGCACGGCAGAAATAGTAGAAATAGTTTTAAGTATGTCATCGGGTTTTGAGTACAGGACTGTTTTTATTTATTTGTTAGACAATCTTAAATTCTTATTCACTAATCAAATAATACGGAAATCTATTTATAATATTGATAGTCAAAGAAAAAACATTTAGGTACCTATTAATCTCTTTCTGGTTGTCAATTGTCTTTTTTTTTTGTTTGGGAACTATTGACGAAAGTTTTAGTGTCAGCATTCCTCAGTCAGTTATTTTTTAAATATCGTTTTCAAGAAACTACCACCAAAAAAGAGGAAAGTTATATGTTTAGTCAATTCGAATCTATAGGTATTGGGTGTTTGCGCTTGCGACGAAGGGCTCGACGAGCAAATTAACCCACAGACACAGCCCACTGAGTTTCTCGCCGGATCTCCTCGGTGGGTCGCGTTTCCGATCCGGTGGTAGATTCCGCGATGGACTGCTCTCGCTAGGGTTAGTGTTAGCAACGTCGTCAGATTTGAGTCCCCGTGAGCTCACCTACTCGTTCTACGGATCCAGTATAATCCCACGATGTTAATAGAACTAGAGGTCCCGCAGTAGTCAAAATTCGACTATAATTGGAATTGTATGTTTGTACACTATTATGATTGTATTTTATACTTCTATAATCACAAATTTCGCCAAGACTATACTATAAAAAATATTAATAAAGACAAACAATATTTAATCTATTCTCAATTTGACCACAGACGTCAAGAACAAAAGTTTAACAATAAATAGTATGCATGCGTGTGTGCGTCAAATACATGGTATGTGGTGTGTGTAGTGTTTTCTTTATTGATTTAATGTATCTTTTATGCATTATTTAAAAAAAATATTAGCATTGTGCACTTCTTCTCTATATTCTCTATAAGTGTGGAAAATTTCATACTCCTCCGTCCGCGCAATTTTCGTAAAAAGGGATACAAAGTTTTTGCTTTACGTATTAATATATAGATAGGCAGGAAAAAAAATTTAATTGGGATCAAGCTTTTAATATAATTTCAAAAACAAATATGACAATTAAAAACGTTCACACGCCTCGTGGAAGTGATTGATCGTTTATGTAAACTTTTTTTATAACACGTTTATCAATTGTTGTTAATAATTATTTGCTGACATTATCGATAAGTTATTTGCGTAATTCTCAGCTTTTTTTTAAGGGATTTTATGACCTGGTAACTAAGACCTTTAGGTCAAGCCTTATTTTAATTTGAATGATACGTAACTTTTTTACATGAAAATGAAATGAAGTTGATTATTATGAAACAGCATGAAGTGGAATGAAAACAAAATGAAATGACATGAGATGAAATGATACGGGATGAAGTATAATCTCAGCAAAATAAATGGTCATTTACTGAGATTTTTTCAGTGGACTTTTTGGAGGATCTCGAGAAGTTACGTCCAGCGACTTTGTTTCATTTTCCCACATTTGTGCACTTTCACAGATATTAAACAGTTAATAAACCACCATTATTACAACACATTTAAACCCGAAGAAACACTAAATAGACAAAATAAAACAAATCACGCAACTTCACTCCTCGCGTTCCCGCCAAAAAGTCCTGTAATTGTCAGCCCACAATATCTGCTACAGATTAACGTTACATTTTGTTGATTACGCTGACGCGTCGTTATGACGTCACTAGTGCGTAATGCTAGTCGTTTTTAAATCACTTTTTACAAAAGACATTGTCATCGAAACCCTAATTTCATTTTTTTTTTGTTGGATTGATAGTTGGACGAGCTCACAGCCCACCTGGTGTTAAGTGGTTACCGGAGCCCATAGACATCTACAACGTAAATACCGCCAACCACCTTGAGATATGAGTTCTAAGGTCTCAGTATAGTTACAGCGGCTGCCCCACCCTTCAAACCGAAACGCATTACTGCTTCACGGCAGAAATAGGCAGGGCGGTGGTACCTACCCGTGTGGACTCACAAGACGTCCTACCACCAGTAATTACGCAAATTAGAATTTTGCGGATTTCATTTTTATTACACGACGTTATTCCTTCACCGTGGAAGTCAATCGTGAACATTTGTTGAGTACGTATTTAATTAGAAAAATTGGTACCCGCCTACGGAATTCGAATACCGTAGCATCGCTAGATACAAATTCACCGGACGTCTTATCCGTTAGGCCTGGACTTGTCGCACAAAATTCACATAAAAAATAAACAAACAATATTCCTGTAGGATTAGTATGCAAAAGGAAGGAACTATGGAAAAGTCACTAGTTTGATCAACGTAGAAATTCCATCAATCAATGTTCCACAGACCTCTTTGGAATAACATATAGTTCTGGTCTTATCATTACTTTTTCCGAGAATGTTTTTCAGCTAATTTATAAGTCTTATTATCGGATACTAACAATCTTAATCATTAGAATCCAGTGATCCTACTAAATAATATCATAAGTACAATCGCTTCTGATGATGCCTATTTTATTACACTTAACATACAAAGATAGGGTTATACATTGTTGCACATCAAAACACAATTTACAATGAAAAACATTTAAACAGGCAACTATAGTTGAACGATTGGCAGTATCTTCCGAAGAACCGTTTTTATTTTCAGAAACTCTAAAATTATACACTATTTACATGATTTTAAATAATAAACAAGATACAATATTTACAGTGGTGTATCAAAATAGATTAAATCATTCTTCTTTAGGCTTCTTCTTTGACACAAAAACTACTGGACAGATTCAAATAAAACTTCGCAATGTAATGGCATATGGGCTGCAATGTCGCACGATCAATGAACTGTGAGATCTAAGAACTGAGTAGATCTGGCAAGAAACTCAGTGGCGATTTTAATCTGGTGATTGATACAACGAAACACCCAAATTCGATAAAGCGGCGCGACACCAGAACCCTCTCATCGTGGCCGCCGGTAACTACATTCCCGATCCTACGGACAGAATGGAAAGCAGTCGACGCCGCCCCAAATACGTCATTTCGGATCCTCCCGATCCACTAACGGTGCTTTTAGGTACCTCAAGCACCGGTCATCGTTCTCGTCGAACCCGTCGCTTGCGACGAAGGGCTCGGCGAGTACATTAACGCACAGACACAGCCCACTGAGTTTCTCAGTGACCCACTGATCCAGAGTTGCCAACACTGGCCATCAAGAGCAGCGTTTCGTTTTTTTTTTCCTACCTAATCTAATAGCCTTGAAATAGCTTCTATTTCAGCTTCACCTTTACATGTAGGTGAACTCACGGGGCTCAAACTTGACGACGTTGCTAACACGAACCCTAGCAAGAGCCGTGCTTCGCAGACTCTACCACCGGATCGGAAACGCGACCCACTGAGAAGATCCGGCGAGTAAACTCAGTGGACTATGTCTGTGGGTCAATTTACTCGTGGAGCCCTTCGTCGCAAGCGACGGGTTCGACGAGAAGGTTGACCGGATAATTTAGAAAATGAAAAATACTTTAAGGAAGACAATCGCTGGCCCGGCGTCCCGAGGGGGAGGGTGATGGGAGAGATGTGCTCCGCACTAAACGCTTCACTCTCCTCCCCTTGCCTTTTCATGAGTTCTGTCTCATGCGAGGGTTGGACGTTGGTTGTTGAGCGACAGGAGGTTTTAGTCGGTTCGACTCCGACATGCCCCACTCTCCATCCCCAGTGGAGGGTGGGAGTCCGGCG